TGCATTGACCAGAGGTGGTGCTCGCGCTCCTGAGCCACGTGGTGCGACTGTGGAGTTGGACCCTCAGAGGGATGAGGGTGGACGTCAGTCTAGACTTCCTTAGTACTTTTTATTGTCGGAGGTGGCTAGTAGTTCATCTATGAGACATGCACCGCCTAGTGACACTGGAGTGAGAACTGAGGTTCTTACATCATCTGTTGTGTACGCAGACGTGCCATCTAGTGCAGTGATGCGGATGACCACTTCAGTTTTGCCATCTCCATTGTTTTTAGCCACGGAGTTGATGGACTTTAGTATTGATTTGGCTCGAGTATTTTGGGTAGCAGCCACGTCGTGTGAGCGTGGGAGAGTCACTGCTACGAGTGCCGAGATACGTGAGGATACGGTTGAGGACCCATCCTCAACGTCTACATTGTTCGAGGAGAGGACTTGGCAGGTGGCAGCGGCAAGGATGAAGTTCTTACCAGCTCGACCAACCATTGATCGTGAGAGGATTGTCCCTGGTGTATGTATGGTGGACAACCGGGGTGGCTTATTTTGCTTAGTGAGCTCTACCGGACAGGTGTATGTCCCAGCCAGAGTTTTGCTGGATCCTGGTGAGCAACCCTTGATATTGGGCAAGGCTGCATGCATTAGTTTGGGTATTCGGATGTAAGAGTTGGAACCTTGCCCATTCCAGATCCAGACTTCACTTGGTGGCACCAGCGATAGGTCTTATTTTATGACCAAGGAGAGCATATCGGTGCAGTTGAGGCATGATCATGCTCATGATAGCTCGGTGTTTGGAGTTCGTGCAGTGGTTTCATTAGCAGAGTCATATGATGTGCTTGTTGGTGGAGCTGTGTTATATCCGATGGGTTTTTGGATGGACTATTGGACGGAGATTGCTGCCTATCGTCCTGGTTGGCAGTCTGGCGATGGACGTTTGAGCGAGCTGCCAGTGAGATTTATTTCTCGAGATCGACCTCTTGAATCTACATCTGTGGCCTTAACCTCCGTTGTGGGTTTCATCGGAGTGCTTACCTGGTCTGATGACTTGTTAGAGGGGAACATGTCAACCGACGATACTCTTGTCTATGAGGAGGTGGAGGAGATTGTGAGCCTCGCAGCGGCAGTGTCATCATCTTTGGATCACGTGCTCATTGTGCACGTTTATGGTGGACCAACCTTTTGCCACGTGAGATGTTGCGTCATGCCTATGATTCTGTGCAGCGTGATCCTACACTCACCGTTGATAGTATCTTGGATGTTTCCCGACACTCTCAAGTAGTGAGAGTTGCTGATAGGTCACCTATGGTGTTGGTGAACCGCATAGGTAAGCCTCAGATGGCTTTACCTACGTTGGTCAGTTGACCGGCATCAAATGCATATCGTGATGGTGGACGTGGATTACTGTGGGATAGTACAGTACATCAGTTGATGGAGCCCAACGCTGATGAGAGAGAGCGTGCAATGGGATTTATGACTAGTGTGACCGCAGCTGCTTCAGTTTTAGAGGCTTCGCGTCGTCAGGTTTTGGGTCAAGCTATGGACCTGAACTGCTTGACGTGGATTGTGAGCTTGGGTTTGGCGGAGCAACGCCGTTTGCGCGTTGATTTGGTGGTTAGTACACCACTTGTTAGCTCATTGCCTACATTGAATCTCCCATTTATTTCAGTTGTGACATTCGAGTGTGTACTCTCTCGCGCCTTATATGTGTGCATGTGAGTAGCATGTCAGCGATGTAGGATGTATGGCGATACGTATTCGCACGACATGTTCAGCGGAGAATGGTCTCTGTCCTAAAGCCATTCAAAGTTCCGATCATCGTGATTTGTATTAAAAGGAGTCGTCCTCCTTCGCAGCTTGTCTGTGCGAGAATGAGTACTCTCGACAAAGGTCGTTTACCCTACTGGCAAAACCGTCACCGTCACAAACATAGTCAAGCCAAACCCACTCCACACTCGGAGATTGCAAGTTGATGCTCCCGGGCACTACTCCCAACGCGTTAGGCTTGACTCGAAGAACTGAAGTTCTTCGAGCCGTCTCCGACCTATACCATAAGACCTAAAACCCTAGGCTCGACGCTATTTTTAGCAAAACCAAAAACTACATGACAAGATCCATGACACAACATGGGCATCCTTATGTAATTAATGATGTGCACAAGTTTTTATATTGATCTAGCTATGTAGTAAATGAGCATGTACATGTCAAATCTAGTAAAAAATACATTGAGAAGTAGTAAAATGGATTGTGAGATACTTGAATAATACTAATGTTTATGGTATATTGTTTGATGATTTATTAGACTATGACAAAATCTGGACATTAGAAATTTTACAATTGGGTATGTGTTTAGACTTGGCAGTGAATGCATTAGCTGGAGATATGTTTTGCAAAAGTGCATAACGCAATTCACAACAAAAGTTGGAATATGTAATGGAAGTAAAAGCGAAAAAAAAATCATTTGGTTAAATAGACTTATCACTGACATGGAATTGAAACAAAAAGTTATCAAAATTCATTGTGATAGTCAAAATGTGTTATATCTTATTGTAAATTAAATGATGAACAGAAAAGTGAAACATAGTGACATCAAATATCACTTGTTTGGAAATGCAGCGTGTGATAAAAGGATAAAATTAGTCAACATTATTATACAATCAATCCAATTGATGCACAAACCAAAGTTATTACTTTGACAAACTTTGAAGTACATTGTGCTACTATGTAGGTTTTGCATGAGTTCACAAGTAGATTTTACTAGCAATTGGTGTTAACTCTATATATATTTATTCTATAATTAATATTTAATTAATTTAGAATAATAAATAGGTTATGAAGCTTCAATCAACATGAATTAAAGAAATAATTTCCACTATTGAGTCAAGTTTTGGATTAATCTCTAGTTAAATTAATTCAATTTAGAGTTGGTTTGGTTTTAATGTAAGTTGGAATTAGATGTAGGATTCTTGCAATACTTTACATATAGAATAACAAGACATAACTCGTATTGAATATTTTGTAAAATTTTCAATTAAGACCTTGTTGTTCTTGTGGATGAAACTCAAGAGTGACGAATCATCTATTTTCTTGTTGACGTTATATTTTGGATACTATGGATTGTTGTGCATTTTCTATAAAAAAAAAACTAACAACAAAAATTTAATTAGTAACAATCGAGACTAGAAGATTTTTTTTGCATTCAATAATATATATTTGAAATAAGATTGAATAGAATTAATAAATTTTCAAAGTGTATTATATTTTGCAACAATCAAGTGATTGAAACATATTAACATTAGAAGTTACTTTATTAAGGATGTAATATTAAAACAAAAAATAATTTTAATATAAGTGAAGATAAATCTAATCCAACTGATCTGATATGATTCTTTGAAATTTATTTCAAACACATTATGTAGTTAGTGTAGGTTTTGCATATTTTTTATTTGTTTATATTTTTTCATTATGTTTATCTTATATTTCAATACAATTATGTGTATAAATCCTGTCAGTTGAAATGAAATTAATTTCTAATTTTTATTATTCTCGATCTTTGTCTAGACAGATAACATTCATGTCACGATCATTTATGGAGTTTCTGAACTTTGTTCTTAAGCACAGAACGAAAACGTACTAAACCTCCCACATCGCGTGCCTGCATCGCTGCGGAATACGCGTGTTAAAACCCCTGATACGTTTAGAGGATGTTAGAGTCGTCTGCCCGCTCACTAATCATGACATGGAGTGTTCGGCTTCATCGGATGAATTTATTCTATGATTTTTCATGCTCAACTTGGCAGCAGTAGGCTCCTTATTTATCTTTCGATTGCAAGAACTCCCTTCACTTGATTTTTGTATTCTTGTCCATCAAATTACTCTTTTTGGCGATAGACATGTACTATATTTGGCATAATAGTACAACATTTCTAATTACCTTTCTTCTCTGTATATAGGTTGAAAGGATTTCACTGTCTCAACTGAACTTATAGTGATTTGTTGGTAGAATGGATACCAATCTTTCTCCGACTAAAGAACCGAAGTGGTTACCTAGCATTTCGGATTGACACGAGAGATTTGTTTGATGGGACCCCTGCAGAAAGTAATTTGCTTGACGTAACTCTCAGGTTTAGTTTTACTCCATGGGACCCCAACGACGGTGTGCCATCGAACATAATTCTTGTGACTACGATTACTACTAGTTATAATGTGGGAATTACAATCAAAGATCAATCTTTGATTATAATTTCTGGTGGATTATCACGGGTACAAAGATCGACTTTGCTCGAAGTGGAATTTGTTGTACTTCAATTCTTCCGATCGCAAAGATTCGCGAATTTCTCTGTTGACCTTCACCTGCACACTCCTTCCTTAACTCTGCGTGGTCCAAACTCAAATCTCGCGATCACCCATTTGTGACAAACAAATAAACTCCGGATGAACATTTCTTTGCTCGTCTCCAAGGAGAGTGGCCGGATACAGAATGACAACATAAAAACAAATGAGTGTGATGGAATGTATAGTCCACTCTGTCTGCGGGTGGACTCGTTGCACTCTCTCTCTCGTTGTTATTAGAACATGGGTGGCGGTGGACCGTTCATGGGGTCCATCAAGCAAATCTCTCGGATTGACATTCAAAAACCATTCCAGACCAGTGAAGCTAAACCACACCATTCCTAAACCCTTCCCGCCAGAGTAGACCGAAGCGAGTTGACAGTCTACGAGTTGTGACGAATAGTTGGCGGACATATTGGTCATTCCAAAATAAGCCTAAAATCCCATCACGTTATATACTTTTACTCGTATGTATATCCTCATTACAAGCATCCAAGACTTTTCAAGACATAATGGAGTAAAGACAAACGAGTAAACAATCCACAGCCAAGCGCACAACCTACCACCTAAGAGAATATTTTAATCACCACATCTCCCTGCGTGCAACTCCGCCATTCAACTTGTTAAGAGTACAAGGTATCGATTGAAAATTTCGAACTCAAGGAAAAAATTTGAACAGCCGACGCTGACCTTAACATAATCAAGCTACCTAATTTTTGTAAAATCGTCAATAGTATACACCGAAACTTTGGTTTCAACATAGGAATCACTTTTGCAGCCAAAAAATCCACCTGTACTGTCGGCCACTAAATTGGTGAAGTGTTCATGTAAAGACCTCGCAGAGATGGTAAATTGAACAAAGCTAAACGTTTGTTCAATCAGACTCAAAAATGATAACAAATATAATGGTACATGACCTTCCAGGTGGCGGCTTTAACGTAACCAATCTCTACACTCTCTAAGAAAAAATCGTTTACTGTACAGGTTCCCGCCATCTAAAATGCTTTCAGCTGTAGTATGTGTCGTATTGCAAGTATGACTTGCTAAGATCTGCAAAAAGAGGTGCAACCATAGAACTGCGTCCATGTCCACTACGGTACTCAGAGTGACATATACACCATCTTTCCATGGTTGCTCAAGATATGAACAGTTTAAATATGCACACTCCTACCAGGTATATACAGGTCTCTGCACCAAAGGAGGAGGAAGGTTCAGGTCCCTGCAGAACTGACTGTCGGGATGCATAGTCCCAGGAAGAGCTCCTGAAACATTCCGTGCCTGCTCGATACCTGAAAGGAAAAAGTGTGTAAAAGCCAAACCCTTGTCCACAGCCTCACCCAGATTGGGCATAGACATAGACAGTGACATGGTTTTCTTCTTCTCTGCAACCTCTTCACCTGAAGTGGGAAGAACTGTTTCCAGACTACCATTCTTCGGAGGAAGCTTATCTAGCTCAGCACAGTCTAGAAATCGATCGGTTGCTGCTTCCCATGACAAAAGGTAACGCTGCTCGGCAGTGAGTGGAACCGGTTCTGAAGCCATGGCCTCCTTCACTTTTTGGACGAACTCCTCCGAGTTCTTGTAGATGAAACAGTTAGGGAACGACTCGAAAAACTCGTTTGAAGGGTGGTCTGCGCAGACTACAATCTTGCCCATGGCCAAGGCCTCCGCAGTTGTAGTACAGACGACGTCGCTTATGCTTGGATTGATAAACACTTTATACCTGGAATTCGGTCTCCAAGAAACATCACAAAATCCTGGCGTGTTAGAGGCACTTCTAAAAAAAATCGGCAACCGCAAGATTAGAAGTGTGAAAGAAGTATACCGCGAGGTTACCGAATAACACAAACCAAGTACCCGGCGAATGACCTGGACTAAGAAACATGATACAAGTCATAGAGCCCGTACAAATGGAGCAGATCAACGAACAATACGCGGGTGGAGCGAAAAAATCGAAACAGTAAGTCTACAGAAAAGGTGTAAGCCCTGTAAAAGGTCAATACCCATGGAGCGTATCATCAGCGTGGTCTCTCCCTCGATGAAAATTGACTCGCAGTCCCAGCTTCTTAGAAGTTGCCTCCACCTCCGCTGAGTCCTCACCATTTCCATACACGTCTACATCCATGGCACCTAGTTCATCCTTGTGCTGGTTCAACAGATCGACCAACTCTCTGTACCCTTTACCCCAAATCATCTTTCCCAAGAAATAAGCCCCTTTGTTAAAGGTAACTTTTCCTTCCTTGCTATGGGTTGCAATCTCTTCGCCAATATGCAAGAACTTGGGACTAACACCGTGAACGTTACACACCATTGACTTAGGAAACATCTGCGTTGCCCCTGAAAGTCTTATGACCTGCAAGAGAAAATACAAACTTAAGAGCTTAGATAGTTAAGCAAGAAAATACATAAATAGAAGTCAGAGAGCTCTGTACATACGAAAAATGGAACCAAAAAGTACGTTCACTTTGAAGGAAATTGGAACTTACTTTGTGACAGTAGATACGGGCCATCCAGTTGTTCACATGCTCTAGAAAAAAAGCCTGCAGTGGTCCATTCTTTTCTCGTTTCACATACTCGAGATAATTGGTGTGGACAACACCGACTACGTGCTGGAATTTATCTGTCCATCTTCTCCCATGATAGTACCATGTGAGGTGCTCAGGCTCCTCGAGAACAGCAACGTCCGCCTCCCTGTCAGGGATGAACTGACTGATGTCTCCAGCTGCCAAAATACTCCTTTTCTCCGTCGAAAACTGGAAATTCATTCCATGCAAGTATATTAGTTCAGACGCGTGTGGCAATCAGTTTACTACGATTACGCCTTCGAACTCTAGTATGGGCAGACAACAGTTTTCAATTCTTACCTTTCCGGGATAGAAGGCGATCTTGAAGTCTGGTCTAAAGCCAACCCTGGCTTCGAGCCAATTACGAACATACGTCTCTTGATCCGCTGGGGAATCAAAAGTCATGTGATTCGGGTAGACTAGCTCTTGATCCTTTTGGCTGAGCCATGGAACAAGTAAAGTCACTTTTTGCTTGCCGCTCTTGGCCAAGTAAGCAGCTCGAAAGAGAGGGTTCACAGCCGTGCCTGTCATCCAAGGTAAACTTGCTGTTGTCACGATAGCGATATTCCTGCGGCCATCATCATCGTCCGTTGCAGCGGCTTGCTCCCCAAACAAGCCCCCTTTATATCGATAACCAGTACTTTGAACAACACTAGCAATTCGCAGGTCTAAGTCATCCACACTCTTCACGACTGCTTTGTTGCTGGTCGAAATTTCTCGGCTATCACTGTTAAGCGCTGCTGGCTGCTCCTTGCGCTTGTAACTCCTAAGAGCTTCGCAAAGCTTTTCTGAAACATCTGCAACAGCATAGAGAGTGTGAAAAATGATGAATCTTTCCCAGCAAAAGCTCGAAATCCACGTGCACGACAGATAAAGACGACGACCGAACCTCAGAACATTCATTGAGCTTCAACAGACTTCTTAGGTCGCATGGCATATCCTTGAGCATCACAGGCAAGTTCTCACGGAAGGGAAATCGCAAAGCTATTAGTGGTGATGAACACGCCAGCAAAAGCCGGATACACAGATGACGCCATAGTTCGTTTTGAAGATGGAACGAACGAAATTATTGAAGGTAATACAAATGTGTAGCTCACCTTTCTTTACACCCAACTGGTCAAGCCAAGGTTCGGACTGCCTAACAAGATTTTCCAGCAATTCCGTCACGTCCAAGGGAGCAACGTCATTTTCAAATTCGGTCTGTACAGAGCATCATACACAGTTTACTTCGTGGACGTACATAGAGGTGCCAAGAAACAGCGAACTCTTTGTTCCGTTGGTAACTTACTGTGACAGCTACAATATGCTAAACAAAAAAGAAGAAGGATAGCGAGCAGCAAACGGCACCAAGAACTCGGGTTCAATGAACAGAAACATCAGGGGATCACAATTAAAAATGAATACATGTCAAAGAGACCCACCTTGGCGCCAAACGCTGATTGCTTTATTGGAGTAAGCTTCTGCAAAAAGCAAACAAAAAAAAGCAGACTTACAGTTAGACTGCGAACTCGGTTCACAGACATTATAATGGCAAGGAGAGAAAAGTCTGCAAAAATAAAACACAGCCCCATTCAGCATTATCATGATATAAAAACGTACCAAATTCTTCTTCACATTCTCAAAAAACTCAGTTTTCTTGACATTCTCAAAAAATTCAGCCGGAGTTTTGCTAGTAGCAGCTGTAGATTCCAACTCCTTCAGGCTTTCCTTCACACTTTCCTTGGCTCGCCTGATAGGCTCCCAATCGTCAATCTTCGTCTGATACTTCTTACTGCCTCCAGTCCTCTCCTTTACACGGGGCCAATCGCCGTCGTTCACTCTGATGCCTGGAAATGGTTTCGGTTGACTCCAATCTGCCCACCCACCACCCCTTTGGGAACTCGGCACGTACTTCGGCATAAGGTCCCATCCAGACTTACTATCCTGAGAATTGAAGGCCGGTCCTCCGCCAGCCCTCCCCGAAGAAGCCTCATCGGTAAGTCGGTTGTTGAAATTCGGATCAGAATGAGATCTCCGAAAATTAGGCAGACTGGGAGCCAAGTTCTTCAGAAAATCCGAATTGTCCTTCGAGGAGATGGACGTGATGGGAGAGAACGGGGGACCCGAGAGAGGAGGTCCCGTCTCCCGAATCTTCCTAAGTAGATTACTAGAGTTCTTAGACAGAGGAAGCGTGAAGGTCTCGACTCCCTTCTCCCATTCCTTATCGAGAGTATTGGCAAGATCTCGGAAAGACTTGGCTCTTTGGCTCATCAGCTTCAAATCTCGATTAGCGCTCTTTTGGACATCGTGCAAACTCTTGGAAATAAACGACAGAGCTCTCTCCGCCGGGGCAGAAACCCCGACGCCCGAGGAGTCGTCACCATTCCACGGGGTCATCGTCGCGGCGATCCTCAGACAGACCTTCCGCACCAAACCTGCTCCGGCAAAACGCCTCACGAACAAACGAGCCGCCCTAGAGAAACACTCTCTCGACCCTCAGCCGTGGAACTCGCAAAATCCCTCAAGCACTCACACACTCACACACTCCATGCCGTCAATCCGGCCCGCCTCGCCACACCGACACGCACAGTCGTCAATCGAACCAGCAACCCCGCGCTCGAGGATCACGCTCGCGACTCCAAACCAGCGCATCTCCCCGCCCTCGCCGACCTCCTCTCGCTCGCCCTCTTCTCTCTCTCGCTCTCGAAATCTTCGTGCGTCCGACGCGATCGGGCTGTCTGTGTCTGGGGCGAGGCTCGCGTCGGCCTCACTCTTTTCTCTTCTTCGCGGAGCGATGGTTCGAAGGCCCCGGGACGGCGCGGACCTCTCGCTGCCTCGCGCGTCTGGGACCGCAAACGCGCTCTCGTTCTCTCGCTCGCTCGCGATGCCTCCCTCGCCTCGCTCGCTGTCTCGTGTCCACCTTCCCTCGCTCTGCCAATGCCAGGCCGACGAGCGGTCCGCCCGCGCCCCCGCTCTCTTTCCCTTCTTTCACCCGGATAACTCCTCCCGCCGTAACTCTGCCTGCCATTTACTTGCGCGTCGGCCATTTACCTGCTGCCGCGCTTGGACCGAGGTGCCGTGGAATGTTCCTCGATTCCCTTCCCGCAATCTTCGCGCCGAGGATTTCTCGGTCCCCCGTTTCCCATCCGCTTTCTTGTTCGTGCTGGAGCGGACTTTCCCCGAATGAAACTGCGCAGCTTTCCTTTCATTCGAGTTCAACGTTTCCTTCGCTTTGCCTAAACGTTTCCTTTCATGTCCTAACGTTATATTTATCCCTCGACATTATCTCGTCGGCGCTATATGCTTCCATGTTTTACATGGCTCTGCACTTCCTTTTTGTTATTTTACTTCGTACTCTTGTTTTACCTCTGGAAAGTTTGCATTTCTTTCGTTCTCCTTTCTTTTCTTAGACCAGCAGTCTTTTCTACCCTCTAAAAGTCCGCCCGAGCCACATTTAAGCTCTGGCTAAGATCGAATGCAAGGCGCATGGGAATATTAGTATTGTTCCCCGGAAACAGCGTGTAAATGTTTTTGTTGTTATTTAGCCCTGCAGTACCAAAGCAAAATGATCCATCAATAAACGTGGGGCTATGTTAAACATGCTCATAGGTCGACGGAATCAGTTTTGGTGTCCGTCCAATATAATACATCAAGCTAATCAAAAATTCGTCATGCTTGGTCGGGCACACTCTATCTCCCCCAGCTTGCTTATATTAAGTTACACACGTAGGTAGAGTCATTAGATTCATTAGATCTTCATTTCTGGGCATGATGAACTCGAACATGAACAAGGCGATAACCAACTCAGAGCAGTATTCGTGTCCCTGCGTCAAATTTGTGGCGCTTGTAGACGGAGTTCGCAAAGAGAAACGACAATTTGTCCAGGTACATTCGATTGAGACAGTTCTGTTGCAAAAGGAGATTGGCTCGAGCCACTTTGGTGAAGCTTTGAAGATTTGTAGCTTGAATAAGAATGATCGTCGCACACAAAAGGAACCAGTCTAGACTCGGAGATCTGATTATGATCGTGAGTGATTCCCAGCCATGTTCTCTAATCATAGTTACTTCAGACTTACTACTGCACACTCTAGGCATTCCGAGGTACTGTTGCACCAGCCTGAGGGCATGATATGTATTAAAAGTCAAAACTCAAACCCTCATTATATCTTATTAGGAATTCGGACCATTTTGAATATAGTATATACATGATGAGTCCATCTTGAAGAAGACAGTGTCCGGAAAGGTGTTGGCTGGAATATACTCATCCGAACCCAAACTTTTGTGCAAAATTGGTTTCTTGACAAACGCAAGATCACGAAGACAAGAAGAAAAAGTTCAACGGACCGAAGCCCTAGTAATGTAGAAAAGAAGATGGGAACATAGGATGACACCAAAGGTGCAATGTGGGAGTTCAAGGGTATTAAACGAATTTTTGCCATGCTACCTTTTGACCTTTTCACTGACTCTGGTCCAGCCCACAACGAGGACTGTAACTTTATGACAATCTTGTACCACGCTGTAACGTGGTGTCAGAGGGTTGATGCTAGAATCTACCACAGCTTGATGTGCACGTCGGTTTGCACGGTATTTCGGTATAAGAACGCAGTGAACGAAATTACAAGACAAAAATCTGAAATACGACATGTTTCATTCAATATTCAGGCAGAGAATCCACGCCAGCTCCTTTTGTAAGCTACAAGAGGAAATGCGTTTCATTGAGATAGTGTAGTGATGTTTTAAATCTTTCTCATAGAAAAGTATTCTGGAATGATGAATTTTACTGAAGAAAATTTAAATTTTTGTAATTATTATTTTGGGAAAAAAAATTGAAATCATTAAATATCTAGTGCATTATATTTCTCTTCTGGAAAAATTTAAATGTATCATTTTATTGCGCACATTTTTAAATAAGTATGAACTTCTTATGTTTTCTAATATTGGAAAAAAATATGCCTCTATGAATTTTTATTCTTCAAAAAAAACTTTCTGCATTTGGAGTACAAATATCACATAGATCAAATTATTTATTCATTTGATTACTTGATTACAAAATCATCTTCTAGATTTAAGAATCAAAAGAAAAATGGATAAATTTTGACCAATGTATATCAATATATCTAATATCTTGCCCTGTGAGGTTATTTTGATATAATTCTAACTTGCAAGAGAGATATGTATGTAGCATCTGATATGAGCTTTCTAGTACTGCTTGATTCATTTTTGCAAATTTTATCTTGTATGGAAAGAGATATGTGAAATTCAATGTATTTCTCTAGTATTGCTCCTTAAAACTCGTTTGCATAATTTATCTTTTACATGATTTCTTGTTGTGGTGACATCAAATGTATCAACATTGGATTTGAAAACTTCATATGTCTAACATGATATGGTTATATGACAATGTATTATTATTTAATTCTCCAGTTGTGATTGAGATTGATCTCATATTTAGAATAAATGTGAAGATTTAGATACTTGATCATTATACAAATATTTATATGCATTTGTAATAATTGATCATGCAAAGGTATGCTTGAACCAAATTTAAAATTTAAAATTTAATTTAAAATTTAATTTAAAATTTGTATATTCGGTTTGTTTAAAAAAAATAGAGTGGTTATTTTGATGGTGATGAATAATTACAATTTCAGAGGATTGATTCTATATTCTTCAGTAATCGAAGATATGTTTCATGAAAATCAACTAGGATTAGTAAAAATATGTAGTTGAAGGAAGACGATGAGAGTGTTGCAAACCTTGTGATTATCAATCTGACACAGTTTCAGAGTGTTGTGGATGGCAAAAAGTATCAAATGAAAAGCTACCCAATCATAAGAATATGTGAAGAATTCATGCCGTCTCTAATTGGAGTTAGGTACACCAACTTCAAAATGTTAGTGAGAGAGTGCAAGGTAGCTGTCATATTTTGACTAATCACTCTCCTTAACTTATTCACGAAATGGGTTTCCATTGTTTTACATATATCATCAAATAATATAATAATCTATAAGATATCATTCACTTTACATCACACGAGTTTGACCAATTTTAGATAATCTTAAAATAATCATGTTTTTTGTTGCATATACAACATTTATAATATATTTTGTTTAAGTGTAATAATGCATAATCTCATTGTGATTGATGTAATCTCATCTCATTCTGGCCTAGACTCATGTACCCCTTTTGGGTACAGGAGTCTAGGTTCATCACATGGAGTCTTCACATCCTTTACTATCTTACATTTTCCCCCTTTTAGCACCATAATAATGCGAGAATGCATTATTCCACTTTACTTCGCGTTGTGAAAGCATGACTTTTCGACTTTGTCTTTTGTTTCTTCATATTGTGTACTCTTGACTTCGGATTTTTTTATTTAAGGGTTTTTTCAATGAACTTAGATATGTGTGGACGTCCAGGCTTCTAAAAGGACTTTCAAAACTTACGTACAGGGACTTGGAAAACTTCTATCAGCTACACTGACCAAGGCCATTGAACCAGATGCATTAATCCGCCTGCAATACAAATTTAGACAATTCTTCCACTTGAGAAATGTGAAATGCATCTGAACAATTCACGGATGTTATTGTATCAAATGAGTTCCAATACCAAAATCCTGTAGAATCATCGTACAGTGGACACTCCAGCCGCCAAATGTAAGCCGTGAAAATATATGGTGCGATCGATACCCTGCGGTCCCACTCGGCCTTTCTCCTGATGTCTCATGGATCCTGGGGGTTCATGACCAACGGTTCTAAGCCTGTCGAAAGCCCTCGTGTATTACCCACACCCAACACGTGGCACCGTGACTACGTAAGGTCTCCATGGGTCCTACCGAATCAATTGCATGGCCCTCAAAGCCTCTGCCCCGTGTGTGAACCAGGGTGCCTTCCAATGTCCGGCGTCCAAGTCGTCCCAGGCCCATCCCCAAGGCCCATTCGACGAGAATCCCCCACAAGCCTCTCGAAACTTGTCCTGGTTCGCTTCCAATTCGATCTGAACCATAACCTTGGGTTCTGGCTAACCCTACTCCTACTAGAGTCTCACCTACACTGACACTCAATAGTAGGTCATTGACCGGAAGGAATGATCCGCGAATGGTCCATATTTGATCCTGCCATGAATGATAGAAAATTATATACCGTACTTCCCAGTACCCGGTCCCTGGACAATGCTGCTGCCGTAGAAGGTACACCTGAACTTGGAGTCATGTAGTCAAAACAAATAATTTTATTACCGCATTGTGCGACCGGCAGGACCTGCAAGCATTAGCGAAGCTCAGGGTGCTAGCAAGTGTCAATGCGTCGAAGCAACAGCGCACTGGCGGTAGAAAAAGTATGTTCTCCGTGCAATCGAGATGCGTATTTTGCCTCCTTGATTTGATGCAAGAAATGTGTAAGTACGTAGTTATAACCATGAACTGTTGTACAATCATAAGCAGCCAGGCTCTTGGACCCCGTGGGATGTGCGCACATTCTATCCGAGATCTGATGGTGATGTGATGACTCACTAGGGCAGCTGTTTGGGACAAAGTACTTCTCTAACTCAAAATTCTTTGTAATTAGATTAAAATAGTTAAATCCAAACGTTACGCAAAATTTTGGGGCTTTAGTACTGGGGAGAGTAAATTTGTAGTACTTTTTGAGTTCATGTATGAGAAAATGAGAGTGATTGGACGACTTCACTTGTTTCAAATTTTCTTTAACACCGATACCCATATGGATACAAACGACTTGTACTGAAAGATATCAATGAGTTTTATTAAATTTAGAATTCATCTGACTTTTTCTCAAATCCAAAAAACGAATATGGCTTTTCTAATAGATCAGATACCATTAAGGGATGTTAAAACCAAGATGAAAATAATCCATTTTTCTGATTTTTGTCTTGTAAATATCTTATAAATCAAACTGTTAACACAATTTCAAATCGCTAAGCTATTGATGTCAG